ATCTTATGGATTGTATATGCGACGGCTATTCTCAAAGTCATCAAAGCATGTATAAGCGGGTATATAGCTCCTGGTAAGGTTATATGTAATAGAATTGTTGCCTCCTCTATTAAACAGTATTTGTAAATACCCGATTCTTTTCACATAGCATAAAGTTCTATAACATCGCCTGCCATTTTATATGAAGTAAATATGGTTAAATATCATTGATTGGCAAAAACGTGAAATAAATTGATATATACCGATGACGTTAATGGTAAATATACTCAAATTCTGTCTCTTGGATGATTAATTGAATATTCTTTTAAGTTTCGATACATTTCTTGTAGTATCAATGGAGTCTTTGGAAAATCGAACTAACTTTTTGTGATCTTGTTGTCATTTGTCTTAGGTGGAGTTTGATCTACCAGTTTCTAAATATACAATTTCAAGCTCTATGCTCTTTCCTAGTTATACTATAGTCATACAGTCGGACTTTCGCGCAAATTTACGAGAACCTTTCCGTATGGCGCTAGCCAAGCTCCCTTCCTCTCCCCTATTGAAAAAATTATAACCATTATACTGTGATACAAAGTAAGGCTCCAAATTCGAGCTAATCCATATCCAGTTTTAACTTACCATATATCCCATATAACTGGATTCCCAGGTAAATCGCTCAACACTATGTTTATTAAAGGCGCAAGTACTTCGCAAACATATGACCCTTCATTAACCAGTTTCCCTTTCTTCAAATAGGCTTCGTATTTGGGTGATTTCCAGACTTTAAGCCTATAAAGAATTATTGATTGTTAGAAATTTGATCATCTCCTATACGAATAAAAAATAAAGAACCTACAATGCTTCTAGTATCTGTCTAGACATTGTTTGAAGCATCTCAGGTTTATCTAGCCATCTCCTATATTCAATATTACTCATATCATCATCTACATTAATCTTCGATTTTTCATTATGGATGAACTCTTTACAAACATCCATTATGATATCATTCTGATCTAGCCTATATTTTTGGAAAGGTTCCTTAAAAACATCACAAAATGATCCAGGCATCTTCGTAAAATGTTCAGATCTAATATCGAGGACCCCGGAACATATTGGGTAGTCGAACCCAAGGCTTTCAACATCTACTTGTTCTAATTCCATTTCAATTCTTTCCCACATAGTTTTCTCATAATCAATACTCTCATTTATAAGCTGACCAACATCACGTTTTAAAAAACGCAAATTTGCATTTGCATCATCAGGCCAAGTCTCCGCATCAATCACCAAAGCCTTCATTTCTGTAAGAGAACATAAATCTTCGAAGGCACTTGTAACCTAAATATAATTAACTTAGCTTAGACTTAACATATTTTGTTAATTAAAGTGAATAACAATTTGCAGGATCAGATTAGGTTTTCGTTTTCATAAACTATCAAAAAAAAATGCTGGCAATGAGCTCAATAATCAATATTTCGGGTACATACAACTAGCTACTGCTATGCGGAAAGTGATAATATCACAACGGACATAACCCATTCACTAGCATATAAGCCCTTTAGAAAACCTAAAAAAAATACATCATATCCATATATTTGACATGAATATAGCTTATCGCTCTTACTCGTTTCGCTAATTTTTTCCCAGTACCAAAACTTTGAAGCTTCTTTTTTCGTTTAACATCCTCTGAGGAAACTTGTTCTAAAACTCTTTCTAGAACTAGAACATTTTCAAAGTTCTCCACTTCCTTTTCAAAAACGCCCGTCCATTCACCTTGTTCAACACATACAAACAACGCTGTGGAAATCCTGACAATACTGAGAGGCTCTCTCGTTAAAAGAAATTCTTTCATGTTTTAATAGAATGAAAGTTAAAATGTTAGTGAAAAGCTCTGCTAAGCGAAGTAAAAAAAAACGTAAAGGTATAATAATTTCACTATACTGTTCTTTTAAATGACTTCATTTACATCTCTCTGGGCTCGCATTCATGTTTGAGAAAAAAGATAGGAGAAAATATGCAAGACATTTTACGTCAAACTTTTGTGTTAGAGAATAAGGGCATGTGGAATGTGCATTGAAGATCTCGCCATTTTACTAAGGTGTTGGGGTAATGCATATACGAACTTTTTTTTTCGCTCGACCGCAGAAAGGCCCAGCACGTATATAGATATTATTCTACTCAGAATATAATAGAAATATCCCATCCCTCCGGAGCAAACATACATATCAGTAAATGCTATTCTGCTAAATATTATTCGGCCAAATGTTATAAGGAAAAAATTCGAAATATTTTTGGGGATCGATTTCTTTTGTGTGAAAATTAATTTGTCGCACAAACAGTCATACAGAGTTACAGATGATTTGCGATGTATCACCTATTCATCATATATACTTTAACGAGGATCGAAAACGTGCTAATTTATGCGCCTTTTTTCTTCGTGTTACTTCAAAAAACATAATGTTACCTGCGGGAGATAGATATTATCAACTAATAAATGTATTTATAAGAAAAAAAGCAAAAGTGCGTGAATTTTTTCACGCTATCACATGATTTTTATTTTTTTCCTGCAGAAGCTATGCTTCAAGGGAGGGGACTAATCTGGAAAATTTGGCGCACAAACTCACAATTATTATCCAAATCTGAGAAATTCACGGTAACATCCTTTCCATGAATATAGTATAAGAATTCTGACGGCAGGAATCGGCATATTCTTTCTATTTCTACTGATTTACCCCTATATTTCACACAGTCTGAAATTTTGATGATATTCTCAAAGTTATATTTTTTATCAATAAGATAAAATTCGGAATTCTGTAACCATTTTAATATATTATACCAAGCTATACCTCTAACAACTATGTAACCTTGCTGATATAATACTCTAAAAGTAACTAGGTATGCTACAGTACATAATCGTCCATATAACTGATTTCTCTTCGCTTCTGCCTAAGTAGTAGCAGAATAAATGTTATGCCTATTGTCTACATAAAATCGGTCACTCACATAATTAGATTCTATTAGTTTTCTATTAATGAAATGATATGTTTTAACATGAGGAACAATATCTAAAAACTTCTTATTGTCAGGAGTACTATCATTCCTTACCACCTCCCAAACCTGTTTTGCCAAAGACTCAGGTCTTTTTTTGTAATTCTTGTAAGCTCGCTGGATAACTGTTGCATAGAAATTCTCAAACTGATAGTTGTATTGTCTCACAATCAAGAATCCCCAAGATCACTTCATTGATCTTCCTGAACTTCTCGAAAAATACTTTATTAAAATAGTTATAGATTCGAGGATCTAACCTAGAATAGGTAGATCATGTATAACGTCTGCAGGTGATACATTTCACAATTTCACTAGGCGATCATGCATACAGATTAATGTAGCTATTCATTTCACAAAAAAAAATAAAATATATCATCTTTGGCTAAATATATTTGATATTAATATTAATATTTAGTTGGAGAATATTAAGTCTATTTTCTTCCTGCATTTTTCTGCACAGAATCGAAATATGCTTCAGCAAGATCGACCAAACTAGTCCTGCTAGAAATTTCAGGTGCACTTGCACTACGTCGCATTAATCTATCAGGCTTTCGTGGCAATGGAGGAGGAGTTGGCCCATTTAGTGCTTCGGATCTTTGGTTCAACACATAATGAGAAATTGACGAAACCATTTTTTGCCTGGCATTAGAAATATAAGTTGGCATAGTATTTTTTGCTATAGTTGCTTTAGATTGTACATATATTTTATAGTCTGTTAAACGCGCATCATTATCATATGATACCGATGCCAACTTATCCTTTTCTGAGTGTGGAATAGATTAGGATAAAAGCTCCAGTTGGAGACGCTTCATTTCCGCCTCTTCTTTTAATATGTATTGTTTGTATTGCCAGATTTGAAATTCCCTTGTATCAATCGATTGAAGAATTTCTTTTCTTCTTGCATGTTCATTCAAAATAGTATTTCTAGAAATACATCTCTTCAAGTGGTTATCTTGATTGCGATAAGAACGTCTTGTATACTCTCCAGGTATAAATACCAGGGAGTCGCATACGCTACAATATATATAATTTGATGGATGACCGTGAACTTTACTATCACTTTCATATAACTTTCCATACATTGTAATAAATCCATTTTTAGAAAGGATTCTTGGATTCTCTTCAAGTATTTTCCTAAATGGACCACGGATACGGGAGCACCACATTTCTGGTGTTTCATGATCATATCATTCACCTAAAGGACATAATGCTTCTAATATTCTTCTATATTCTTCGAAGTTTACATCACTATAGCCTACAGAAACTAGCTTATATTGGGCTCTACTATCTAAATCCATAATAGTGTTTTAGTAGATTATAACAGATTATAACGATTTTAAAGTATTTTATCGATTTTAGCTGATTTAGCAATATTATACTATAATAAAACCATATTCATTTTTATTCGATTGTTCGGGTGAAAACCAGATTCATATTTTTTCCTGACGTTTGATTCGGTTAAATTAGACCCGATCACCGTGGACGGCTAAACTATAAAAATTTGTATCACATGTGATCTCCTTAAATCCCTGCCAGTTCCAGGAGCTGGCAAGTTTCTATAAATCACGAGATGATCGGCCAATCAGATTTCGGATTTTTTCTTTAGCCGGATAGTAATGGAATTCGGGAATTGTAAATACACGTGAACGAAAATCTATTTTTTCTGATGGTAGAGTCTGGACACGCTCGCCAAAATTGCGCAGAAGAAACGGCGCAGTACCTTCGGGATAATCTAAACGTACCAAAAAAGATATCTGACAATGTAACGCTCCGCAGGGCACAAAGTGCAATAAAATTTATAATTTTATTTCAAAGCTAAATAATATCACGTCATGTAAGCCTTATTATAGTAAGGCCACATTAAAGCCCAAATTGGGCGAATTGCATAACGATCATTTTAAACACGAATTCATTAAGGCTTTAATCAAATCAAAAGACATTTCGGATAGACAATTTGCAATTACAAATCAACCTAATTACACATTGCCTAACTTCAACTCTACCTAAAAGATAGAATAAAAAAAGTAATGAGAAACTCCTGAATCAAAAAATGAGCGGATACATAAAAAATGATGAAAATATACCTTGCGAGGAGTTGCTACCGTTCTCCTAGTCATTCTCATCTTTTCGGTTGGAGTTTTTATAATGTTGTCATTATTAGTGGTGTAGGATGGAAGTCTCTCAATATATTCTTCTACGAAATTCTGTGATTGGTAATTAGCAAACCATGAAGTTGATAATTTAGCAACTAATAATAATACCAAAAGACCATCAAATTTACCTTCAAATTTCCTACTTCTTGTAACACATTTTCAACCAAACACAGGCTAATATTACTTTTTGGCATTTCAAATTCTCCTATCAAATACATTCTATATACAGCATCATATGAAAGGTCCATAGCATATATACGGACATTATAACCTGCCAACAGAATGCTAAACTGATTAGATAAAAGCATTCAGAAAAAAATATATCCGGAAAGCTACATACCAAATGCATGAATTCCAAATACAGTCATATCTAATTCAAGACATTTCTCTTTATACATGTTATCTAGTGAGTCTTTCATTAACACTCCTAAATCCACTAAATCAACATTTGCGAAATGAGAGCTACTTTTGTAAGGCGATTTGAATAGCCCAAATACAATTTCAAATTTGCCACTTCTTTTATTAACTGTGATTGTGAAGTCGGGTTTATGTCCTTCACCTTCGTCATCGTCATTTGTTTTCCTAGATGCGCTTACGAACGACAACTTGTTTGCCCTATGAAAAAGCAAGCAAATATAACATTAATACTGCATTTAAATGCCCACTAAAGCAGGAATAACTAACTGATCTGTATAATTACCAATCAATTGTCCTATCCGGTCCGTCGGGGAAAAATGGACGTAAAAAAGGATGTATTGAATGATGTACGTGGGTATCTTCTATTGTTTGAGGACTATCAAAACTTGTTCGCCAATTCTCTGCACTAATTAGAATTATCTTAGTAACTTAAGAAATACAAAAATCAAAAATCAAATTAAGAAATACACCTACATGTGATTCCAAACATTCTGACTAGTTCTCAACAATTTTTTATCGGATGAACTCAAGTTCGTCCTTAAATCATTATAAGCATTGTCAATTTCTTCCTCTAAAGCCTCTCTGGTCTGTTTTCGGGCAATTTGAGCACATCGACGACATATTTCTTCAACCACTTTCGGCAAATCGTGTCTCGGGTATATTGCCCTCATTTGCTCAAAAATCTTTGTGCGAATGGCTGATGAAATATCCAATTGTACACGGACAGAGTTTTCCTCTAAAAGGAGTATGGAATTAAGAGCGCTGGGCAATAACAATCCAATATTTTAACATTATTAACATTTTTAACTGTTAATATATACATTGCATAAAAAGAAAGACAACATGTCAACTAATAGAATTTCGCCAGGATGCTTTGAGAATGTCAATTCACATCTATCTGCTTTGGATTCAGCATAACCCTTGAAACGGAAAAATGAATCACTTATGTTCGTATCATCAATGGTCCACTCCTGTACAGAATTTAAGATTTATTAATGTTATGTACGTAAATAATGAAACACACACCTACATGTACATACCACAACTATTTGTTTCAAATCCTCATATAAATTCCATTTCAACACAAATGTACGTTTAGTACTGTTAGTTTCCTTCTGCCTACTTTTTTTTGCAGCCGGTTCATCCTGATATTCAACTTTTTCTAATATGTCGGACTGTAGATGAACGATCATTAAAAATGTTACAATGTTACAAAAAATTAACATTTGCTAAGTTACTCTGAAAAGACTACAAATTCTTCACCTTTTCTTCTTCTTTAGATGACTTCCTATTACGCTTTTTTGAACCATTTGTGTTACCAGTTGATACAGGATCTTTATCATCATCAGCCTAAAAAGAAATCACGCAAATTAGTTGCTATTTTTGAGAGGAGCTCACGATAAACAAATCCTTATCATCATAGAGATGCATTCTATACCGACCTCCGTAGGGACAACCGATTCTTTATTCTGTAAATATCAAAAGTAAGAAGTGCTCACTATAAAATTCAAGGCGACATTTTTTATACCAAAAAACTTACTAACCTTTTTCGATATTGATAGATTTTTTTTACGCTTTTGAGTGTTAGATATAGCAGGTTGAAAATCATCGTCATCGGACTAAATAAGAAAGAGTTAAATTTGCTCTATAAAGCTGTTGATCCTCAACTTTAGCAAAAAAAAACGCGCACTTGTAAATAAGAACTCTCTTTCTTTGATCCAGCAACCAACTCATTCACAGTTTCTATAGTTCCTATAGTTCCGATTCCGTTTTTTACATTCATGATTGTAGGATTGTGGAGGTGGATCTGTTTATTAATGCGCTCCCCTTCCCACTTTCTAGCTGTTTTGTAGTCGGGTTTAGGCTCCTAACATGAAAGAACCGCTTATTAGCAATATTTTTTTGACTAATACATTCCAATTCTTTATAATTCCCCATCCAACTGTCAGATCAGCTTAGAAACCTTGAACGCCAAACAACCTCGGAGAATCGTCTGGGCTCCAACAGGGCCGGTACTGAGTCAGCTTTTAGCCTTGAACACAGTGGACCTCAGAGAGTCTCCTATGCCTCAATATCGCCAGTGACAAAAAATCTCAGAGAATCCTTTGCCACTATCCCCACCTGCATTTTTAACAATAGAAGTTCTAATACTCGCCTTTTTATATCGATCAAGCAAGGCCTGCGCTTTTTTGCGCCTGTATCCTTCTTCTTTATTATTAGCTATTTTTTTAAGGCACGAAATATAATATGATAACTTCTGGTCGAAAGGTTCCACCTCACATTCGTTCAAGAATCCTAAAATATTCCAATCAGAATATGCACGTTCAAAGTATTTATGCGACATATGCTAAAAGATTTGCAAAACTCTTGTCAGGAAACGAAGTAAAATGGAAGTACTTACAAATTTTAAAAAAGTGAGTGTACCTGATGCAGAGACCCGGAATTATTCCATTTTTATAATTAATGAATAAAATGGAATTTTTGCCGTATAATGGAATAAAACGGAATTTTTATGAATTTTAATAATTTTATTCCGACACGTGACAACTAACCAATCGTTATTGTAGTATTCTTGACTTTATCGTGATGGAATTTGTAAGAATTCCGGTAAATGTCAATCATTTTGATCATTTTTGGCCAAAATTATTGTCGTGTCACTATCGTAACTTAGATCAGCCTGCATTAAGATGTGAGCCGGCTAGAATTATCAAATGTTTCTTACCATAATTGGTAATTTTTATCGGAATTTTTCCCGTTATCGTGATAAAAATTTGTGATTTGATATCGGAATAATTCCGGGTCTCTGACCTGATGTGTTCCGAGTTCAAGGGAAAATAAAAGTCACACAAAAAATTAGTTGACGATCACATGATACATAATTTGGCTCTTAATCGTGTGTTACATGTAAAAAATTAAGCCTGACGTGGGCGAAAACTTTATTAATTTTCAGAGGTAGTAAGCGAAACAATATGATGCTATCAAAGAGGGAGGGAGTTCTCGGATCCTAGGCCATAAATGAGAGTCCCAGCATCAAGTTATTTCTTTACTTTCTCATATTTCAGATAAATTTTTCTATATCTATTGCTAATTACGAGATTTTCACACTAATACTCTTTTCCTACACTAGATTTTTGAAATAAATTATCCCTCACATATTTACAGAAGTTTCGTCTATCTATATCACTCCCGCCCACACGGACTAATGTAAAATAATATTCCCCGCAACTGAAATTTCGAACCTAAGTATAAATTCGAGAGATCAGTAACTGAATTAAAAAAAAAATAAATAAGTAAGATTTTGGCGGCCGAAATTACAGTCATGTGATTTATTTCTTATATTTCACTGCGCCGATGAGGCACGTGTTGACGATCACGATTTTCTCGGCGAATATCAAATATGTTAAAAAGATCAGGAATGGTAATATGTCCGCTTTGACTTTGAACATCTATAGAGCCAGAAAAATTGATTAACATCGTGATGATGTTCTTTTATAAGCTAGCCGAGCAACCTACCTTATTATAACTTTGCGGAACATGCGAGTTCGTTTGATTATTGATTTCGATGATGTTAATAATGATAAGTTTTATTTTTCGTTTGATTTTGCTTTACTTGCGCAAGGCAGATAAAATGATTCACTAACAGGGCCATCACCTTTTTATATAATTTCCAGGGTCGATTTTGGAATACACTTTTTGGGAATATGATTACATCACGAAAATCTGATCAACGGCCTCTCCTTAATTTAACAATAAAAGAATTTATGCTATCCATATGTAAAGATCATCAAGAGGCCTCTTTTTAGTAATAATATACGTAAGAATTTTGAGAATATGCGAGAAGGTTTGAGAATAAATTATTATGCGCAGTTGCTTGTTCCCGTGATACATGAAACGTAATAAATGATACTGCGCATTTATCGGGTTCTGGATCAATGATTTTGTTACAATAAACTTAATCGAAAAAATATTAGCATACATGATTCCCACAACCCCATAACTACAGTGCGAAACCTTTATAATAGACAATTGAAAATCTTAAATAAAATTTGATCCTGTGATTTGATTTTAATTTAGTAAAAAAAATTGAACTCTATTTATAAAAAGGAATCGATCCTTAAAATAAAAAAAAGTCTCAAAATCGTTTGCTTATGTAATGCATCACAGGAACCAATCAGAATTCAGAATTAATCATCGCGCACGAAATTTCTCTTTTATTACTTTAATTAAAATTTTATTAAATCAAGCTCTTTATAGATACTATCAGGAACTCTCC